CAGGACGGGACCAAAATTTATAGTGAGTCGAAACAACGATTTAGAGTTTAGACATTTCAAAACATAAATTCATCACAAGAAGAATGAATTCAATCTACCTTTATTTCAAAATTAAAAATAGCGACAACAACATTTTCTTATGATTAAGAAATAATAACCTCCTTTGAAAGATGTTATAACGCATCTTTTTTATACATTTCAAAATGTTTTCAGTGTTACCAAGACCATATTGCACATTCTGTGAAGAACGCGAATGTCACGAGTTCAAAAATCGGGATTGTTTTTTTATTAGATTCCTCGAAATTATTTGCATAATCGATGTTTCGGATTCGGGTTTTTGTGCTGTACTTCGAATTTTATTTCTTCATATTTGGGGAACTCGTGGTTTGATTTTCTTCGGGCTTATGCTGTGGTATATTGGTAAAGCATGAAACGCGTACGGTTATGACCAAAAATTATTTGAATAGTTTCTATCGTATTACCTCAATGAACTCGTAGTTACGGCATTTGAGAATGTTTGGGAAATGTCTCTCCTTTTCCTCTCGATCATGTAAAAGTGCGTCTCACCTGCCATGACGGCCATGAAAGTAGCCAAAGTAACGGCGGCCAAGAATAACCAGAGAGAGACGCGCCATTTCCAGACAATAATGGCGACGAAAAAGAGGGCCTCGGGCCAATACGGCGGCAGGGTGTAGGCCAAGGACCAGAGAATCTCTACCACTGTGGTCAGCGGACGCCGCGAGTAGCTGCAATAGGTGCGGATTTCCCGGTGTCGCGAAGCGGCGTCCCCAACGCGGCGGCACTCGGACTTGAGTCTCGACCACTGGGCGGCGAATACAGCGCGGCGGATGGACGTCCCCATGTTAATCGTATTTCTACTTGGGCTTGTTCGAGTCGACGATAGGAATTTGGATGATTTTTTTTTTGTGGGGCGGGGAATAGTGATGGAAAAGCTCGCGGTTCCTGTAAAGAAAACCAAAAAATCGGTTGAATTTGGCGTCTACAGTACAAAATAAATGTATTGGCCGAGTCCTTGGATTTCTTGTAATCTCTCGGAATCGATCTTGAAACAGATTCCATATTCGATTTCTCCACTAGTTGGTTTTAAATATACAGTAATTTCAAAAATTGCCTACGGTTGCCTTTTTCCTACCACCTTGATTAGCTGGTGCTGATTGTTTTTATTTGAAAGTTTACTCATGATTCATGGGGGGTTTAAAAAATCATGGTACTGTACAGTATAGGCATTCAGAAACATATTTTCGACCGCGATGTTCAAGTAATTTTCACGAGAAAAATTCGTACCCTAGAATTTCACTACTTGCGGAGTCACTGGCACACATTTTTCCATCACACATCAAGTATTTCACTAATTACGGCATCACTGGCACAAATTTTTCATCACACATCGTTGAAAAAAAAGGTATCTCTGAACGATTGGATTGTATTTACTACAGTAGTCCTATTTCGGAAAATTTTCAGAATACAGTTACCGGCATTTTTTTATACTTTAAAGAAAGGTCTTATTTTCGATAAGCATTATCAAGTCCCTGTTCCGCATATTACCATAAGCCGCTTCTCGTTGAAGCCATAGAAAGGCGTTATTTTTTTTGGGAATGAGCTTCGACGTGCAGGTACAGTATTCGAAAGAACTTCAGGTTGAATACATCTGATTTTCCGAGTACACTTTTGGCTGTTGCTTATATATATTATTTGCGCCACTTTTTTTGGCGCTTTTCGTGAATTATGGTAATTATTCGATGTACTCATCATTCCAGCAAGTATTGTTTACCATTTTTTAGTCAAGTGCAGGCAGTAGAAATCATTTAAGGGAGAAATGATATTTTTGTCTTCTGATGCGTCAGTATGTTCATCATCCTGGTGGTGGTTTAGAAAATCTATCTCGGATCGCTTTGCTTTTGCCCGCATAATTGAGGGGGGAAAAGTGAAAGCTAAGGGGAATATACGGGGCACACAAAAAAAAAATGCTGCAGAAAAATGAATAAATGTTGCGAGACCCCATCCTCGTTCTTTTTTCTTTCTGTTCAAATCTTAGGTTGGATTCAGGACTGTTGAATCGATGGGAACCTTCGGACGAAGCTCAGATTTTTTTTGCGCCTCTTTTTCGCCTTTTTTTTTCTTAGAAATCTGATGCGTATAGGTTTCCAATGTCTCGTTGGGTATCCGTCATTATACGGGTTTCCGTCGATCCCCGTTCTTTTGGGTGTGTTTATTCTTAGAATTAACGGAGTGGGAATCGATCTGCATCTTTCTTTTATGATGAAGTTATTTTCGGAGTTTTCGTTGAATTTCCTTTTTGAGGAGGGGAAAAGACAGCGGGTGTCGAAAAAACCGAAATTTCACCATGTTTGAACGTAGTTTTTTTTCTGAAACTGTGCGGTAGGGTTTTTTATTGATCGTTATTTTCTGAATTTTCAAATAAAAATTTAAGGTAATGAAAAATTATTTCAGCCCTGATTATCAGTTAACTACGGCAAATATTTCCCTTGGTGATTTAATTTTTCTCAAGCACATGCATCTGTTAGCGGTTGATATTAAAGTCGGGTCAGTGGAGTTTTTGTTCGCTATTTCTGTCTGTATTTTTCTAGAATTTAGCGCATTTTCAGGGGAACGAACAAAAATCATTTTCATTCGCCATTTTGTTGGATGAGGGGTTCAGCTGCAAAATACCGGGTTTTCCTGAGACCTAAATTTTATTCTGATTTTTTTTTCTTCAATCGCGTGATTTCATCGTTCGAACTGTGGACTTTTTGGGTTTTTGTGAGCAGATTTGAGCACAGTGTCGAAAAACGGAATAGGACCTAATGGGAAAGTAGCTTTTCTGTTCTTTTTTTTCTTCTTTCTTTTTTTTGGCGAGGGGAATTTTTGTATTTTTCTTGAATTTAGCGCATTTATCTACAATTTTGGGGAATGCCCAAATAACAATTTCATCCGCCATTTTGTTGGGATGAGGGAAAATACCGGGTTTTACTGAGACCTCAATTTTATTTTTATCTTCTTCAATCGCTTGATTTCTTTGTTCGAACAAAGGACTTCCGAAAAACGGAATAGAACCTAATTGAAAAGTAGCTTTTTTTTCTTTTTTTCCTTATTTTTTTCTGGGGGAGGGGAATTTCATTGTGCACCGAAGGAATGAGTAACAACGTTGAGCATTATTTCGAAGTATTTTTGTTTCTACTTTTGTTTATTTAAAAAAAAAAGAGATAAAATTGATAAAGTATGGAAATCACGCCGGATTACCCTTCACATGAGGATGTGAAAACTGAGAACCAACACTTGACGAGAAACTCCTTTTGTTTTTGCCCATCTCCGAGTACGTGCGTAAACTTCCGAACCAATGCCTGGTACGTTTCTTGTTCTTCACCTGTACTGTTTCAATTGATTACAATGAACCAGATGTTGAAGCGATTTCTCCGAAAAAGGAAACACAATGGGAAGCAGCGGGAATGCCCTGGACTGTACCGACTGGAATCCGCGTGGTAACTGAGTAGCGACGGAACGCGTTGCCTGCTGTTTGAGAAGTCGGGTCGTTGCTGGCTTCCCGCTTTGACCTAATGCCAGTCAGGTCGCCCCTCGGGCCACGGGGTGGGTGCATCGTAAAGTGCATCATTCCTTGCGGGGTCCGTCGAACTAGGCGGGAAAGGATTCCACTTGAGTGACGTGACCCCCTTTATTTGTGCTTGCAAATACTGAGCGGGTGTGTGAATTTTCTGGAAATTATGTTGGATGACACTTTTTTGACGAGTTTGTTAATCCGTGAAACTACAGTATGTCTCGAATGACAAGAACTTGCTGATTTCAACTTATCAAAACGGAGACTCAATTCAAGCACATTGCACATTATTTTCCTATTCTCACCTGGAATTAAATCGGCTCATCCGAAAACAAAAGTTTTTTTCAGGTTATTGAATTAAGCTTCCGGAGCGGGGTACTTGGGAATAATCTTAACCTGGGTTTCAAATTTTTGGTCGACATTCTTCAGCGATTAACGAGAAGGCAATTGATTTTCGAACTATCTGAGATTGAAAAAGTCCGAGTTAATCTCCCGGATTAGCGTAACCAATCTTAATCTGAAACAACCAACTTACAAGCCGTGTGATCTCTTCTTGCTTTGCAAATACAGTATATATTTTTTCAATATGCCCATTCTGAGGTTACTCATGTATTGTGTTATTTAACGTTGAAAGAATTAAATAGCCCCGACTTATTCTCGGATCAAAATTGTTCATATTAATGAATCTACTCGATCAGTGGAACGGATTTAAATAATGAGATTTTATCTGAGTTCGTATTTCATTGGCGCTGGAATTTTTTGGGATAAACTGACCTTTCGTGCGCCATTTCTTTTATACATTTTCTGTCTCACCGAATTTGTTCTTCCTTCATGAGCTTGGAAAAGATTTCTGTCATCGAATACGAGACTTTTCTGTTAGTATAACGGAATATGCCACAAAGATAAGAGGTCGGCTTTTGCACGAGTGGAACTTGGAATTAGAGAAGTTTGGATATTGGACAAAATTGAACGGATTTGTGAAAAGAATGACGAAAGAAGCTCGAAGTTGAGAATTCTACCCGAATTAAGGGCGCAAAGAACCAAATGAATATTAAGTTGAATCTGAAGGATAGTAATTTCGTTCGGAAATTGCGACATGTTCTGTACTATGTCCTAGAATCAATTTTCAATCCTTGGTGAAACGTTTTCCCCCGAAGTAAATTAAAGTATAACTCAAACAATGCCCTGTCTTTAACGAACAATCCAGAAACAAGTTGGAACGCTGTGATGCATGAAGATGAAACTTAATTTTGTCCATCTCAGTAAATTTATTATTTTATTTGTATTTTGTCGTGTAGCTGTTCCTACAGTTTGGAGCCCTGTAAGTGTCTAGCATTTTTAAGTACGAATGAAAAACTGTTTCGATTTTTCAACCGTTCTAACTTTCTCCGTGTCCCTTCATCCAGGCGAGGCAAGGAAAGGAGGTATGCGGGAGGGGACTGCTAAAGACCCGACTGGTGTTGTGTTGGGTCGGCTGGCTGGCTGGCTGACTGCTGCACTTACCAAAGTAGTGGCCCTATGCAGAAAAAAGAGATTGATCCGGAGAGGGGGTAGAAAAAGGGGGAGGAGGGGAGTGTTATAAATTCTTTATTGAGTTCATGCACTGGCACGCGAATTTCCCGTTTTTGTGTGGGGGGGGGGTATTATTATTTTTGGTTTCATTTTTATTTTCAGGATGAAAAACAAATTGAATAATGCATTTCTTTTATTTGCAGCCGGGATCTCTGGGAATGTAGCTGCAAATGGGATTTTTTATTTTTGTATTCCCTTGGCCGATGGTTCGTATGGTAGGTCATTAACTTCGGCCGTGGACTGAATATAGTTGATCCAAAGTTCGCTGAGTTCGTCTGTCTCATTTCCTGCTGATTTCGTCGTTTAAATTCCTGAGTTTGTAGCATGCCTAGCTAGAAAAACGAAGTGGATGGAATTTTTCCGTTTTTCATTCAGAAATCTTCTTTACGTGTACGAAAAGGTAAGTCCAGATTTTATCATAAGACGGTTACGCCTGTGATGTATTATCCACGAAGACAATTGTTCAACAAATTTTGTTGTTTTTGAAGGAATCTCATTGCTGTCAACGAGTGAATCACCTGGTTTATGTAATCCTCGTTCCGTGGGTGTTTTTCCGGGTCTGAATTTGACAACTAGGTGCCCAGGAATTCTCGACGGTTTTTTGTTTTGTCATAGTTTTAAAAGTTGTTTTTTCTGTATTTCAGGAAAGTTAATCCTACGAAACAACGAGTGTGTTTACTTTTATTCTGGGTTGTGGTTTTTGAAAATCGGGAATTCCGCGAAGAAATGGGTGCTGCTTTAGCAGGATTCGGCCTTACTCAGGTGAGTTCATCCTCATCATTCAGTTGGTCGTATCGAGGAAATTTCTGATATTGAATTGTCCTGATCGACTAAAAATTTCAATTTCTTAAATCTCTTCTTCTGAGAAAACGGCTTCTGTGGAGTAATAACGCTTTAGACGAATTGTCACCTGCTGAAATAAATTATTTACATTTTTCATTCTGAGGAACCTTTCTTCAAGTCCGCCTTTCTAATTTTTTGAAGATATTCCATGAAAGCTGCTTGATTGATTCTCAACTTAATTCTCGCAAAATTAAAAATAAACTATTTGAAATTCCTGCCATAAAGTCTTCCAAACAAAGCTTTCTCGAGTCAGCAAGAATTTTATTAAACTTTGCCGGTCCGCAAATTTTTTTTTTTATTTGCTGGTCTGTTGGAAAAATGAAAGTTGGGGAACACTGGTATACAGTATTTCCTCATATATTTTCCAGGCTGCGTGTTGCTGCGGTAGCGCGGCTTGCAGCCTGTGCTGCTCCGCGTGTCCCGCCTGCAAAAACTCCACGTCGACTCGCATCATGTACGCACTTCTGTTGGTCGTCACAGCCGCCGTGTGCTGCATCATGATGGCACCCGGGCTGCAAGACGACCTGAAACACGTTCCGTTCTGCAAGGCGCCTCCGAGTAACACCTCGTCTCTGCTTCCGTCGCTCCCGAACCCGGGTGCCTTGGACTGCACGGGTATCGTGGGTTACTTGGCAGTGTACCGCGTGTGTCTCATCGTCACGATGTTCTTTGTCCTGATGGCCGTCATGATGACTGGGGTTCGGTCGTCGCGGGACCTCAGGTCCGGCATACAAAATGGGTTCTGGGGGCTGAAGTACATGGTGGTTATTGGAGGGGTGGTCGGGGCTTTCTTTATCCCGCACGGGTACTTCGGGCAGATTTGGATGTATTTCGGGATGGCCGGAGGGCTCGTGTTCATCTTGATCCAGTTGGTGTTGATTGTGGACTTTGCCCATAGCTGGGCAGAAAACTGGTTGGCGAAGGTGGATGATGGGGAATCAAAGGCTTGGTGAGTGGGGAAAACTGTAAAGTATTCCTTTTTGTAGCCCAAGACAGCTTTTCAGCCTTTTTCTGCATCGCATCCCATAAAAACAAAAATATATTGAGTTCGCAATTTTTTTTTTTAACTTTTTCTTTTGAAAAAAATGCTGCAAATTTTTCGTGAATAAATTTGCGACTGGGAGAATTTTTCTTCTTTTTTTTTTTTTAAACTTGTACATCATAATCTGAGTGCAGGAATTAATTTTCGGTGTTCATAATTGTGACCGTCGTCTGAAAAAGTCGCTGCAAAAGTAAACGTTAGTTTTAATTTAATTATTTTCCTGTCTTTGCAGATTTTTAGAGACGAAAGCTTTTTTTTGTGTGATTAGCTCAAATGAAATATCAAGTTTTGTTCCAAATATTTTTTGTTTATTGCTGTTAGATGCAACGTTGTTTATTTCTTTTCCTAGGTGGGCAGCGTTGCTATCCGTCACATTTTTCCAGTATGCCCTGTTTATAACTGCTATCGTGCTGTTTTTCGTCTACTATACCGCTGTAAGTTGTGATTGTTTTATCGTGTGAATGGAAATCTTCATTTGGAAACCCATCGATATTTCGGCGTGCTAGGGAGGAGATTGTCAATTGAACAAGTTCTTCATCTCGTTCAATTTGATCCTGTGCTTGATCGTGAGCGGAATTTCTGTGTGGCCTGCTGTTCAAGAACGTCTTCCGCATTCCGGCCTGCTTCAGGCTTCTTTTGTCAGTTTGTACGTCATGTACCTGACTTGGTCTGCCATGTCCAATAGTCCGCGTGAGTGCGAGTTTAGTGTTTCGTATTTTGAAAGCATTTGCATTTTTTCAATTATGGTACTTTCTTTTAGAATGCGAGTGCAAACCGGATTTCAAATCGATTATCAACGGAAACTCGACCCTTGTCAATCCGAATGTGCCTTGTGGTGACGACGGCAGCATCGACACTGTCGGAATCATTGGTAAAATCTTATAATATTGTACTGTGATGAAAAATACCGGATGCAGTTCAATCTTTTTTCAAAAGGCTAACCCTCTCCAGAAAGGATATCATGATATTTCAAAAAGTTCTCGTAAAGAATTCTTCCGGGATCATTTTATAAATTTTAGATTTGTATCATGCTGTAGACGATCTGAAAGCTTGAGTAAATTCCTGTAGAAGGAGGTTTAAATTATTTTTTGAATTTTTTTTTTAGTTGAAGTGATGAACTAGTAGTGACAAAAATACTTTCTAAGAAGGGTATTAGATGATTTTTCGATTTCAACAAAGATTTATTCATTGGTAATTGCGAATGAAACTATTTGGAAAAAATTGAGCATCAAGATTCGAAAGTAAAATTTATGAAACGTTTTTATGCTGAAATGCGAATGGAATTCGAACGAAATATTTTGATCTGTTGACGAAGTGTGTTTCTGTGACGTCAGCAAGCTTAGTCTCTCTTAGTCGATGCTTTTATCTTTTTCCCACGAATGCTATTGATCCTTTTCAGGGTTGGTCATTTGGCTCCTGTGTGTGTTGTATTCGAGCATCAAAAACTCGTCATCATCGCAAGCGGCGAAACTGGGAGTGCTCAGCTCCGCTGTCATCATCAAGGACGATGGGGAAAGCGGTAAGTTTTCAAGTTCTATCTTTCTCCAGCTCATTTTTGTAATTCGTATTTTATGATTTTGAGTGTAGGTGGGTTGCACCAAACTGGAGAAGATGCGGGACAATCCGTTTGGGATAATGAAGAGGAAAGTGTCGCTTACTCTTGGTCCTTTTTCCACGCCATGTTCGCCTTGTCGACTCTTTACGTAATGATGACGTTGACCAACTGGTACTCGTGAGTATAAATTCCTCATCTGAAATCTCGTTATTGTGGTCCTTTGCTCAAAAAGATGTCACATTTTCGTTTTGCAGACCGAACTCGGACCTCAAGACCATGTCGGCCAACTGGGCGTCCGTGTGGGTCAAGATAATTTCGGCGTGGCTCTGTTTAATGCTTTATGGCTGGTCTCTCGTGGCACCCATGATTTTCCCCGATCGAGAATTCTAGGATTCGCGCAATGAAACGATGAAGACGAGAAAAAAAATCATTGAGTGATCCGACTTCTTCCTTGGTAGAGATTGCGTTGACGTTTTGGGGGAAATTTACTGAAAATGCGCGCTGAAGTTCAATTCATTTGAAGTAGGTGTACTGCGTGCCATCGTCTCGATAAAGAAGAGCTATTCGTACGAGAGGCGTCATCTGAACTTGGATCAATTATTTTACAGAGAATCGATTGAAATTTGTTCATCATTTTGGCAAAATGAAACGCTGGTATGCTGCGAGAAAAAAGGAATTTGTCTTTTTACATGTTCGAGATCGAGTTGATGATGTCTTCGAGAAATGTTGCTGAAAAGGCGCGATTTTTTTGAAACTGTTGTAATTTTTGTCGTGCTTTGAAAGAAAAAGAGCTGTACGAAATGCAAATGTGCTTAAAATCTAATAGTTTATTTCTCAGGAAGAAATAGGCCAATGGATTCAAATCGGGGTCTTCAATGTGAGAAGTTACTCGAAAGTATGCTGGGGATTCCTGGATTTATTTTTCTTTCACGAACGCCCATCGCGTTGACGACGGAGAAAATAATTTCCTTTTTTCACTGTTGAATGAGATGTATGTGTCGAACGATTTGGGATCAGTGCTTGATGATGGCGCGGGAAAATATGCTTCGAAAATGTTCCACGCCGCTGATGTAGTAGTTGTAGTAGTATATCGGGAGGCGGTGTAGCCGTGACGAGCGAATGGAGCAAATAGAACTGAAGGAGTTGGGGGTCGTTCGGGATTTTCCAGATGTTGTGGCGTGGGTCATGACGGGGTCCCGGCTTCATTACGTGCCGTTGACGGCCGTGATCCTATTCCCGGTGACCATTTTCCTTACTTACACGATCGCTGTCGCGTTGGGTCATGCCGAGGCCGGGTTCCCGTACATCAGTGACACGGGCACGATGCCGCCCGAGAGCTGCATATTTGGCCAGCTGATGTCCATCAGTGTGGCCCTGCTTGGGTTGACGTTCTACATCCGCTTCCAGCAGATACGCGATTTCTGCAACCACTTCCCACACGTACCCAAAGTCAGGTTAGTTATCACCAGAAAATCAATAGTGCTTTTTTACTTCTTACCGAGTGTATTTATTAATATGCTAAACGGAAGCATTTTTTTTATTTAAGTGCATGGAAAATTGTTTCCTGAATTTTCGTAACTGTGAATGGAAGACCATCTTATGCATGATTAATGTATGCCTGCTTATCTAGTATTTGACGAAATCCAGTGAATTTACGAGTGATGCCTTTTTTAATTATGGTTTTATAAAAATCGTCGATGAGTTGCAAATTTTATTTTTATTACTTTATTTTTTTTGGCAGGAAATTGAACAATGTGAGCTTCCCCTTGGGCTTAGTGGCGACGTTCGGCATGAGCATGGTGGCCAACTTCCAGGAGACGTCCGTCTTGGCTGGCCACTACACAGGCGCCGTCATGGCCTTCGGCTGCGGCACGGCGTACTTTTGGTTCCAAGCCATCGTCAGCTACGAACTGGCGCCGCATCTGAACTCCATTCGAAAAGCGCACTACCGGATCGCCTTGGCTATAATTTGCACAGTCTGCTTCATCATCGCTTGTGGCTGTGGTCTTCTGGCCCGCAAATACTACCACGGACACGATCCGCTCAAGTGGTACCTGTCGTAATTTTTGTGTTGCTGTTTTTACAAAAAAAATATTCCAGATTCCATTTGACCATTCCCGTACTGAAAATAACTCATATCTGCAGTAATAGGTGTAAATATCGAAGCAAAATATCGTTTTTACTCAAGGAACATGCGTAAGGTGATCGCCCGAATTTTCCGACGTTGAATTTGTATAAACATGTATCCCTGAGTAAGACGCGCACCTCTTTTTAGAATAAAAATTGAAACAAAATGAATCAAAATATAAATTTTGACTTGAATCTTTGGAAAATTGAACGATAAATTTTCGCCAATTTCATTTTTAATTGTCTGTTAAAAAATTCTCTGTTTGAATCAAGTATGAGGTGCACTAAAGCTTCAAAAGAAAAAGAAAAATGTTATACCCACTCGTGACGTGAACCCTCTTTTTTCCTCTTTTCAATTTCGAAAAAAAATGTGCGTGGTACTCGAGTGAATGTATTACGTACAATCTCGAATATTTCCCTACAGGTACCCGTCGGACGGCGGCTGGGGACTCCACGTGACGTCCACGGGCGCCGAGTGGGTCATGGCCCTGTGTTTTGATATTTTTGTAGCCAGTTTTGTGAGCGAGTTTAAGCGATTGTTGGCGCGTCCTCCGGAGTTCCTGCTGGACGTCGAGCACCTGGGCATTGGACGGAGTCTCAGCTTCGACCCGGTCATCAACGCATGAATCTTGTTTTCCGTCGTCGCAAAAACTTGCCGTCGAATCACTTTCTGCTGCGAGTTTAGCAGAAATTGAATAATTAAGGACCTTTGAATCCTGTGTGAGCGAAAATCAGAACTTTCTACTGCGATTTAAAAACAAAAGTGAAGCGCAAAAAAGTGGAGCGATGCAGTGAGATATTTAGACAGACAATTTGATTCGTGATCAAATTGATGCATAGGCAATAATTTTCAAATTATTCGAATAACCTGAAAATTTGACTCAAAGCGGAACAAGGTTGCAAATCAAACAAACCAAAAAGCACCGGAAATTGCGCAAAACGTAGAAAATGAATGATGTTTTGTCGATTGTTGTGCTGTTGAATGTGTATAAAATAATTGACAATCGCGGGAATCGATGAAGGAAGCGAAGGATCGCGTTTTGATGTTCCAGCATAAAGTAGCTAATTTCAAACGATTCTCAGTTTCCCAAGTTATTTGAGAAATTTAACTTCGTATTAAATGCTCTGTTCATAAAGTCCAAAACATATATGTTCCAAAATGTGGCATATTGTGCGATTTATTAGTTATTATGCAGTATTCACAAATAATTTTACGGAAATAATCATTAGAATTTGTTTCAATGTATTTTTGTTTTGAAGAATCGTTCGACAACGTGATATGCAAAAACTACGACGTTTCCCATTGATTGATTCATTTAATATCAATGCGCGTAACAAGGGTGTCGGTTTTTCAAATTGCAGTATTACTTCTGTAGGATTAATTTAATACGTGAAACCTTTAGTGACCTTACGAAAGATGTTTGAATTAAGTTTTGTTTTACTGCGAAGAAAGGTCTGTGGTTTTCTGAAGAGATTCGGATTAGCAAGTGTAAGATATAGTCGTCCCGCGCCGACCGCAAAAAGTTGTTCTCGCCGCATTCCTTACGAAAAACTGCTTTTCTATTTATGAAATAACTAATTAAGGAAAAACCCACTGAGTAGGTTTTTCCCATTGAACAACGTGATATGCAAAAACTACGACGTTTCCCATTGATTGATTCATTTAATATCAATGCGCGTAACAAGGGTGTCGGTTTTTCAAATTGCAGTATTACTTCTGTAGGATTAATTTAATACGTGAAATCTTTAGTGACCTTGCGAAAGATATTTGAATTAAGTTTTGTTTTACTGCGAAGAAAGGTCTGTGGTTTTCTGAAGAGATTCGGATTAGCAAGGTTCTAGTTCAGCAATTTGAACTCGTGAAGATTCAGCAGCGTGTATATTGCGAGATATGCCAAGGCTTCCGAAGACTTCCGTAACAACCTTTTTGTTTGAGGTATGTTGGAAAACAAATTTATTCTTTTCTTTAAGATAATGGTTTATTGCTGTGATATGAGGAAAAATATGAATTTCAGTTTGCGGTAGACAAATTTTGGAATCTCGAAAAAAAAAATATTTTGTCCGAAAGACGTTTTTAAAATTACTCAATACAGTACTGTACAGTACTTCAATTTTTCGATTGAGCCTGCAATGAGATTACCTTGGTGTCAGTCTTATCACTGGCACGATCATACAAAACTTTTTTGAAGAATTCATTTCTGCACAACGTCATGACTCCCCTGGTCATTTACCAATTCATATTTACTAGTTATTACTGCATTATTTTTTTAGTTGTATAAAATGTCTTCGATCACTCTTGTGAATATTTCTGCTATATTTTAAAAGTTTTTATTTTCTGATGAAAATGTGCCGAGGTAATACTGATGAGAAAAATCACATCGATTGCATTGATATTACGAATTTAGAGGGATAAGGGATTACGATTGCTGTCGAAGAAAAAAACTGACCCGCTGGCAGGACGAAATTTTTTCCATTGCATAATGTTCACGTCGAGAGGAGAAACGATTAGAAAGAATGAAATAATAACTTCTGGTTTAAATTATTAGATGGTTATATAACCCCTGACTTATTAACTAGGTGTTCGCAAAAATTTCGCAAGTACGCTAATTCCAAGTATGGGCATAGAAGGGGGGAATTGAGAGCCAAATTGGTTTTTCTTGCTTTCAGTCAATGTTCATTCCAGTACCAGTATTCACAGTTCATGTGATGGACATTTTCATTTGACGGCGAATTTTGAAATGACTGNAAGTACGCTAATTCCAAGTATGGGCATAGAAGGGGGGAATTGAGAGCCAAATTGGTTTTTCTTGCTTTCAGTCAATGTTCATTCCAGTACCAGTATTCACAGTTCATGTGATGGACATTTTCATTTGACGGCGAATTTTGAAATGACTGGGGATTATGAGAATTTCAATGGCTATATAATCGTCTCGATTCATGATAACTCCCCGTATTATCAAGGAAATGTATGCTTTATGCGTTTACCCATGGTCGCTTTTTTTTTTATTATATCTTTCCTCTGAATTTGTCTTGCGTCGGATACTGTATTTGTTACAACGGTGTTGTGAACGATTGAATAGGCTTCTGTGCATTGGGTGTAAAATATTGTATTTCGAATTGTTAACCGCGAAAATCAATGCCATTCCCGCAATATATCGTAGGTTTCCTCAAACTCCGGCTTTTAAATAAGTTGGAGTTCGTGTCTGCTGATGACCAATGGATGTGTTATTTTGTTATTGTAGGCGTACTATTGAGTACTTAACTGTGAATTATGATGTTTCTGTTGTACGAAAATGACTCAGAATCCGTGTTGGGGGTCTCTAGTCGCAATGACGAATTGATATAAAGCTAAGATTTATTCCCTGCTGAATTCATGTACTGTACTGTGTTACGGTTTTGTGTCTGGCTTTGAAGCGAACCCGAAAATGCGTGCGAAATTTCCTGTAGTCTCTCTCAGTTGAATGAAACCGTTCTGAAATCACGTTGATTATGCGGTTGCGTGGAGAATTTTGTTGTTTATTGTTTTTTTTTTAGCAGAGAATATAACTGCGGCATTGTGTTTTCCGAACGTTGACTTCATATTTATTAGCCTCATATTTAGCCCTGAAACATTTTAAAAATAAATCTCATGATGTTCGAAGATTCAATTTTGTTCACAGCGCAGAACCCGGATTTGCAGGTGGATTCATTACAATTTTACAAAAATATTCTCAGGAATTAAAAAAAACGTTGTTTGCATTGAATTAATATATGATACTCATGTATAAGAAAGTATGAGAAATTTCTCCCCTTCGCATCCAAATCTTATCCCAAGTGCTTAATTCCCATAACTTTTCCAAATACTGCATTGTCCTTTCAACCTTAAATTTCTCAGAAGAAATAGTTGATGATTAAAAAAACATGCCATTCATGTGCATCAGTAGCAATTCTCTAACTTATTTACCCCCAAAAATTGAAAACATGTCCAATTTGATGTCCATTTTGGAAAGAATGCAGGAAAACATCTTTTACAAAACTTCAGGTTATAAAATTGACCTCCTTGTCCACCAGGTGTTTATATGTGCAGTATATTTTTACATCTGGACTCTCTAACCTTGTCTGCAACAATTTTCTCTTGATAAAAAATGTATTTTAGGCACCTCAGTGCACTTCTGCCTTGTTTAAGGGGTTCTTCTCCACAAAGAACTTCTCTCAAATATGAACTTTTTCTGGTCCACTGAATTTTGTTGTAGAGAGAGTCCACTTGTATATATGAGAACTATGGTGTACAACAATGTTTGCCAACCAGTGCTGGTCTGCAGAATTTTTTTGCCAGTCCACAGGAAATTTTCAGCATAATCATTTAATAAATTCTTGGAAAGTAGGGGGAAAGTCCCTTTACCTAAAATTTTGGATAGACAATGGCAGTTGAAATTATCTGCTGAAAGTAAAAGTTGGCATTTCTCCTAATAACACTTCAGGCAAATTTTCACTACTGCAATAATACAGAAAATTATTTTAATTTTTCATTCTGAGAAATCTTTCTTCAAGTCCACCTTTTTAATTTTTGAGGCATTCATTCAGATATATAGCTGCTCAACTGAATTTTTGAAAAAAGTAGAACATTTTAAATACCTGTCTTAAAGTCCTCTCCAAGCAACACTTATTTGAGTCTGCTAAATTTCAAATGTTGCCAGTCTGCAAATAATTTTATTGATAGTTGCCAGTCTGTGGGCCCAAAAAGGTTGGGTGTATTCATTGTATTTTATTTGAGGAATATGCATCAAATGTAGGATCACAAACACATTCATGCATGCAACAAAAGGAAAAATCCTGAATATATGTAACTCGCAATCTCTCTGTACATGTTTCTCAATGTCGTAAAACTGACTCGCGATTTCTAAAACCGACCTGGAGATAATAAGCTGTTGAAGGCCTTCCGTTGACAAATGTCAGGAATCTCGCGAACAGGCGTCATTTCCAAAGCCCTGTGTTCCGACCGGTCTCATTGTTCCACCATATCATGAAAGCAATATGAAACATTCACGTGAACACGGTTAATATCAGAAGTGCTG